CACCAGAGTACATGAAATATAGTAGCGCACATGTGCGTAAGTTAGACAAAGCAATGGGCTATTAATTACAAACAAGAGGGAATCCTCAATTGCCGCGGCTGTAATTAGATCTCGAATCGGTCAAGAGATAAAGCTATGAGCTAAAAGTTTGTATTTATAAAACAAAAACTAACTGAGAGCCATTATATGAGCTGCGGGTAATTATGAGTAACACTATTATTTTACAGCAAAACCCCACGTTCTTCGCCACTTAAACTAATATGAATGTTTAACAGCTTCGTAAGAGAGGAAAGCAGGGACTTACCTAGGGAAATTTGGCCTATCTGGTTTGTAGCCTGTTCTCCAACGCTTTTATAAAACAAGCACGAGAATTAAACCACATGTTTTCTAGATAGCATACCTCTCAGACAGGCACGGGCGATAGTACAAATCCTGTTGTGTATGTGAACGATAACATTAATACAACGACATGACAGCGTCTCTGTGTGTGTTTTATTTATAGAAAAGGAAACGATCACGGCGTACAGTGAACAGATGTTCATCTCTATATACAGGACATAGAAAAGAGTGAGTCATTTCTGTATATTCATGCTCAGGAAGTAGAGGGAGCTTCTGTTTTCTGATGAAGATGCTGGTAACCAATGCTCATGCTCATTTAGAGCTTTGTTGCATGATTGATCCTTCAAGTGTAAGAAATTTAATTAATTAGATTCAGTTAAATTAGTTCATTGACATGTTAGATGAAAAAAAAAGTTAGTGCTTGATAGAAATAGGTGAAAATTATCATATAGAGTGTGTGAGTCTGTAAACTTTGTGCAGCTCATCCAAATTTAAATAGGATAGAACCATATCTTTCATAGCTTAAAAATGGCTTTTGTCTTGATTTATTGACACTTGATATTCAAGAAATAAAATGGACAATAATGTATAAATTTTATTTAATAAGATAATGTATAAGTTCAATGAACGATAAACTATGCTACTGAGACGGCTTGAATTGGTAATGAAGAAAAACTTTAATATAAGTTTAACATAACATTTGCTGTTATGTTAAAATTATATTAAAGTTTTCTTCATTACCAATTCAAGCCGTCTCCAAGTATTATTGCCTCTCAGTGGCACAGCAGTATGTCTGCGGACTTACAACGCTAGAAACAGGGTTTAGATACCCGTGGTGGGCAGAGCACAGATAGCCCTTGTGTAGCATTGTGCATAATTAAAAACAAACAAACAAACCAAGCATTATTAGTCTCAAAGTGGGTTCCTCGTCATCGAACTATCCTACTGAGGTTTTTAACTGACAAGTTTTCTCTACATGAGCTACTTGTAACTTTGTAGATCTTTATTCTATTAACAAGATGGAATCTTCAATAGCCGCGGCACTTGAAATTCTTTTAGGCAGGATTAGAGTAAATTAATTTATGAGGCATTTTCCCCCTTTTTATTAGCTATATTTTTGTGCGCCAGCAATACCAAGTGTAGGGCGCTCGTATACCGGATTCGATTTTATTACTCATCAGGATCTTTACCCTTCTACCCTGAAATTGAAAGTATTTTAGGCAGAATTAGAGTAAATTAATCTATGAGACCTTGGGCGTGGTCAAATACAATAATCGAAAGGGTTTGACCTCCTGAGTCAAAAACTGTAATTAGATTTCAAATCGGTCAAGAGATGACTGACCTATGAACTAAACGTTTGTACTTGGAAAAAACAATCAAACTTAGAGCCATTCTATATGCCGCAGCTAAAAATATAATGTTTCGTACTCTTCTGAATCCGTGACGAACAATTTTGGTTTTCAACAAGTTCGAAATTCACAAAACATGTCTTTTGTCAGTAGGAAAGACACAACATTTTACCTTTTTTCCTAAACTTTTTTACGTTACTAACAAATCAGTTTCTTCATTGTTTTCATTCCGTGCTGGACTTTTGTCCTTGATGAACTATCCAGTATCGTTAATGCAAAGATAATGTAGTTCACTATACAAAAAAGTCAATAAACAACAGATCACTAGACAACAGGTCATTCGACAGCAGTTTACTAGAAAACAGAGCAGAGTCAATAGAGGCAAAAGTAGAAGCCCAGAATCACATGAACTGTGATAGCTTAGACAGTTAATTGAGCTACAGCTTTTTAGAATAGAGTCAGGTAAGCTATAGCTAGACAACTAGTCACTGGACAACAGGTCATTCGACAGCGGTTTACTAGAAAACAGCTCACTAGATAACAGAGCAGAGTCAATTGAGGCAAAAGTAGAAGTCCAGAATCACATGAACTGTGCTAGCTGAGACAGTTAAGTGAGCTACAGCTTTTTAGAATAGAGTCAAGTAAGCTATACCGAGACAAGTAAAGTCAGGTAAACCTCTGTTCAGTACATTTTTCTCGTTCGGTGAGCCATTGTTACCTGAATCATAGTTCGGCGCGTAATAGGTCGGACAAGTTTCAACGAAAGTAACCGCTTTTGAGAGTGTGATAAACATTATGGAAAGGTCTCTAAAAATTGATGAACATAAAACATCATATTAGAGATCTTGAGAAATGAAACATAACTGAAGAGTGTGACAAGCACCACAGAAAACTTTAAGATATGATCAACAAACTACAGACCTTCTGATATAGGCATAAGCGTAACAATCGGAGGTTATGATGGGGACTGTCTCTGTAAACATTTTTAGGTACATAGTATATTCCTCTCCAAATTTAAGAACCCGTATCGAACTTCAAGTTTTTAACCGTCAGCACTGTCATTGAGCTTTCTGTAAGTGGCTGGTAAGGTATTTATTTCCTTAAATCTTTGTGATATCTCGCCCTCATGCTTGATCTGTGTATATAATACCTTACAGTGTAACACA